GCAAAGGGCTGAAGGCTGGAATCGAACCTGTGTCACCATGCACCCCAAAGCTCATACCTTTTTTAACCTCAGAACCACAGACCTATCTATGCACAGAAGTCAGCTGATTTCCTCTGCTTCCAGCCTTTATGCTAAGCTAAGCTAACCCCCTGCTTGCAGAATCAGTAACATAATTATTATTATTAACTGCTGGCTTACTCGATATTTAGCACACAGTTACAGTACGAGAGTGGTATCGATTCTCTCATCTAACGAGAAGCAAGTATTTCCCAGAATGTCAGCCTATTACTTTTGCACACAACATGATATCTTGTTCCCACAAGATAAAATATTAAGGCTTGGGTGTCAAGGTGCAACCAAAAAATGTTGTTGCAATGCTTTTTCATCCCGTCTACCATCAAATATGAAACTGTAGACGGGTGGTTAGATATTCTGAGAGCACTGGAGACATTCATCAACAGGGGTGCCACTCACGTACACAAATCACAGCAGAAATACTGTAAGCATCACAAAGTAAGCATATTAAAATAGCACAGGTTGTTTTTAGTCCAACAACACCTTGGGCAACATAGGCTCTGCACACTGGCAGCATGCAGGTGGGGCAGTGTGTGTTTGAGTGTGTGCATATTACCTCTTCCAGCGCTGCCAGAACCAAAGGGATGTGCTCAGGATACAGCAGGCCCTGGGACATGAGAGAGAGACACGTGCGCGCATCCTGCTTCATCTCATCATAGCTCTCATCAATCTCCACTGGGGCAATCTGCAGGGAGAGAGAAACAGAGAGAGAGAGATGGAGAGAGGTAGGAAGACACAGAGCAACGCACCATTTTGAGTAAATGAAGAGAGAAATTGAGTTTAATGGGCAAGTAAGATTGAGTGGGTAATAATGCTGCGCAGGGACCTGTGTGTGTATGTGCGTGTGCTGTTACCTTGAAGAGTAGAGGCAGGAGCTGTAGTTGCTGCTGAACGGGAGTGGTGAAAGTCCGCCCTGCGCTCGCCATCAACCATTTCAACACTGCAAATGGCACAAACACACACACACACACACTCAGAGGAGATTTTGGGTTGCTGCCAAATAATAAAAACAACAGACTTGGCGCTGTGACCTTACTGCATTGCTCTGCTAATAAAACACAATCTATCATGATTCAGTATCTAATGATTTGGATAATTTTATAACCAGATATTTATCTGAATAATGGAGATTAGAGCAGTAACGGAAACTGAAAGAGCAATAATGCACAAATGTTGAGACAAGAAATTAAATTTAAATTCAGTGTCGGCAAACAGGTACACCACCAGGCCAAAAAGAAGCAGGTGCTGATAAACTCCAAATAAGAAATATGGATCTAAAATGAAATATCTGCTCTCCCCAAACTATAAAGAATTTTATTTTCAAACAATTTTCCATCCTTTAGAAACACACCTACAGCTTGACCTCAGGTGGCAAAATGAAAAAGCTTTTTATTTTCCTTTATGAAAGTGTAAACACTGTTTCAAAGCCTTCTCCCCACTGCCAGGAAAACAAATCTCGTGGGAAAATATTTAATACTCTATTTTTTAAAGTTAAAAGTAGTTTTTTCTAGTCCCAGTAGGTTACTAAAACCACTACACTGTATTCTCAGTAGTAACTACAGTACTTCTAGTGGTATTCAGTTGCGATTTTATGTGCCCATGTTTTAAAATATCCATGTCTGGGATTTCTGCTGCCACCTGTTACTGGAAGCAGATGCTGTTGAATTTTGTGGATATAATTTTCACCTCAACTGTATTTGGGTGGAGGTAGAAATGTCAGTGGCAGACACCTGAGCAAATAAATCTGAATAACTGAATACAGTTAATGGTAAGTGAGATTTAAAAAAAAAATCTGTTTTTGTAATTTGGGGGAAATGACCCCTTAACTGAATCTGTAAAATAGAAAGAACACCAAAGTAAATTTCATGTATTTAACTGCTTTGGACACTAGCCTGTAACTAAGAGGAAAACAAAATCAATAATAAATTCTTGTACAAATTACTGCACTACGTGGCCTGTACAAATATTATGAGTATTAGAGACACCCTCCCAAATATTGAGATAGACTCCTTTGCGTAACTTTTTTTGAAAGGCTTGAACACACACCCTTGAAATTTCCCTTTTCCCATCTACACCGTGCTACCTTTTAAAGTGGATTTAAAAGGTGAAATCAATAAGGGATCACAGCCTTTAGTTTGTTTCATCTGGCTTCAGTATGTCAGTCTATTTCATCAAGAGAACAAGCTGTCCTGGTGTGTGTATATATATATTTCCCCACAGCCACTGTCTATCCCTGGCCCACACCATGTCCATCTACCACACAGTTTACATGCTTGCATCCACATTCTGACCCGTCTTGAGCAGTTTGACAGCCTGGGTGCGCTCGTCTGTCTCCTGGGTGTTCTCCTCGTGGACATGATTGTGGATCTCCGGCTCCGACGTGAGGGGCTTGAGCCGCTCCAGGACCCGAGGGACAAACTCCGCCACATGGGGGGAGGAGGTGGGCCGGGTGTTGGGCAGAGCCACGTCTATCATGAAGATATAGGTCAAGACACTGGAGAGAGAGGGGGACAGAGGGGGTAAGGGAGGAGAGGCAGATAGAGGATGGAGGCGAAACAGAGAGGGAAAACAGTTACAAATGCAGAAGAGGAGCAGTTGACACAGACATGGAGGCAAAGAGGCTTTGAGAATTAGAAAATTGAACAGCCCAAACAGTGCACACAAACTAATTAGATTAACCTATTTAACCATGATTATATAATCCTGAAGAGATAACACCAAGTTAATTTGGTACCTTCCAATGCGCTCCCTGACATTCTTATACACCTGGGTGAGTTTGGGCTCCAGGTAAGCCAGCAGCCTGTGCAGCAGTTCCGAAACTCTCCACTGCTGCTGGGCCAGACCTCCCTGAAGCACATACAGCAAACTGACAGAGACAAAGAGAGAGGGGGATACAGGGATAGGGGGTCGTTGTGTTATTGCAGCACGTCAGCTCAGCATACGTCAGCTCAGGTTACTACTGCAGCCTGAAATCGGAAACCACTGAGATGACATAAACGCGTACTCATAAACACATGCATTCATGCACATGGGCATACACACATGCACGTACCTGGCATCCCTGAACGAGCCGCCCTCCCCACTGAGTGGGCTTTCCATCAGCAGCTCAAACAGCCAGTGGAGTTTCCTGGGGTCCCGGCCCTCCTATTGGACAGCAGCAAGTAGAAAATAGGGGTTATTTTTGGAACTATCATTTCAGATAGCATAGCATTCATCCACTGAGGTACTGTGTGCAAATAGTCCCATACTTTTACTTCCAATGGAAACAAACAAATAGTCCCCGATTCAAAACTGTACACCAAATCTCTACATGTTTTTATTTTTATTTTTATCATTTTGTGTACATTTTACCGAGTAGATATGTATGGTTTAAGGCAGGAGAAAATCAGTCTTAATTGATTTTAACTAATTTTCCTCATCAATCCAAACGTTGTTTCCTGCTGCAACAAGATGCAGACAACATGTTTACAGTGTCCTTTGAAAAGCACAGATTTAGAAAATCCTCAAACTAACACATTTAAGCATGGTGCTTTGAGCTAAATGCTAACATGCTCACATTGACAATACTAAAATGCTGAGGTTTAGCAGGTTTTTACCTATTGTTGCATGCTAACATTTGGTAATTAGCACTAAACAGTTTCACTCATGGGGAACATGTAATTTGATGGTGATCCATCCAACAGTGGTCGAGACATTTCATTCAAAACTACAAATGTCAGCCTCATGATGACACTAAAAGAAAAGTCAGGAGATCACTAAAGTCAGTAGGATTTATTGTCTGGGAACTTTGAATATATAGTACAACATTTCATGGCAATCAGTTGAATAGTTGTTGAGATGTGTGTGAAGTGGTGGACAGATAGTAAAGTAAACAATGTTTGTGCTTTTCAAAATCCAATTTTCACCCGAATGTTTGCTTTATTGATTTAAAAAAAAAAATCTGATCTTCAAAATATTTTAATAAAGAAAATGTGGACAAATTTCCAATTTTCTTTAATGAGCACTAAGCCATGTTGCATGTGGTGTATTTGTATGCATGTGAGCAACTCACGCAGGCAGTAGCGATGCAGGTGCCCCAGTCTGTGTAGGTTTCCACTGTGATGTTGGTTAATGCTGTCCTGATCAAAGGGCACAAAAGCTTCCATAGCCTGTCCACCTGAGCGCACACACACACAATAATGAAAGTTTTTATTAATATTGACTTTTCTTATCAAAAAGTAGTGCAGCGTGTATTATTTGTCGCTCTGTGTGTGTGTGTGTGTGTGTGTGTCTCCAGTACCTTGCTGAAACTCCAGAGTTTGCTGCCTCTGATTAGTCCTGCAGTAATCTCACACACGCAGCGCTGGGAGCTCTCATGGGGGTCGCTGGCGAGCTGCTCTAGGTGAGGCCATAGTAATGGCAGGAACACGTCACCATAGTTACAAAACAGCCCCTGTCAATCAAACGTGAGCATGAAGGTTTGTTCGCTGTGGGGGAACCAAGACTTTTTTTTTTAAACCAAAGAAAGACAGATTACAGTCATTCACTTGACACAAGTAAACTGTCAGCTATGTGACGGACAACAATGAATCACGGCAGTTGATGACACAAACTCCAGCTCTACGTAGTTCAATTCAGCCTTGGTTTGCTGTGTCACTTCTTTGTAAAGGTTTGCCAGATCGATTGAGGCTGAGTTTAAATTGCACCTTGAAGAGACAGAACCGTCGGGGGTTGAAGCTGTCTTTTCCTTTCCGATCCTCCAATGAGAGAAACTCTATGAGCTGGTCAATAAACTCTGGGTCCGAGAAATATTCAAAGATGATCTTTTCACCCTAGAAAACAAAAACAAACGCTACATAATAATAACTGTAATAGCGATAGAGATTTGGTGTGTGGGGTACAGAATGAGCACGCACCTCACTCATCTCTTCATACGTCAGGTCATCTTTTGGCTTTTCAGAAGCTGCATGGATCATCATTTCTCTGAGAGGAGCGGGAGACAAAGAAGAGACTGCTGTGATTTATAGATAACAACAAAAAATATGGATATACACATACTGTCTTCAAATAAGCAGCAAAGATAAATGAATGATTAAAAAGTCAGTTAGTCAGCAAGCCGTCCGCACACCAAGACAGCCAGCCAGCCCCACACCTATACATCAATTCTTCTATTTAGGCCAGGCAGGAAGTCATTCAGTCAGCCTTATCTAGGCCAGGCCATGACAGGAAGTCAGTTCAACACCCTGCTAGTTATCCAGCCACCCAGATCAGTCATCCAGCAGTTAGTCGGACATAAAGTTTGCCACAAAGCCACAAAGGCAAGCATCAAATCAACCAGGCAGTTAAGTCAATCAGCTATTTAGCTCCATCCAACCAAGCAGTTAATCAGCCTTCCGGTTTCTAAATCCACCACCTGAACACTCACCTTGGCCATGTGTAGTAGCCCCAGTGTGTTTTCTCCACATATGGTTGAGTATCCCACTGTTCCTCACTTAGAGGTAGATTGTTGCTGTCGTACTGAAGCCAGCGATTCCCCTCACGATCCCCACACACACCCTCAGGATCCTCTATGCCACCTAGACACCCATGCGAACACAATGCAAATATATGAAAAGTCATGACTACACACATATAAGCACATAAGCAGTTTTGATTTGCATTTGTGTGGGAGTGTGAGTTGCTCAGTGTTTCTAGACAAAAAAAAAGAAGGAAAAAGGAACGATTTTCTAATTTCAAGCAATTTATCTTTTAATAGAAAGCAAATGTAGATTTATTGCTGCTCCTATTGCTAACTCAATGGGAAATCACCACAGAATTAGTCTGTACACCATGATGTATTATTTAATCAAAATCAGATGCTGAAATTGCAACTGATACTGCAGCAGTAGCTGGATTCAGAGAAGGCCTTACAAATAAACTTGCCGCATTTACCCACAAGACCTGAATACAAGAGGTCTGTATTGTATATGATTGTTATTGGGTTATTGTTTGTGTGCTCATACTTACTGATATCTGATGGTTTCACAGCCACTTTCTTTCTTGGTCGTTTTAGCTGTTTCAGGACACCGGCCATTGCTGATATTGCCACCTGTGGGAGAGAAAGATTATACAGTAGTAAAGTAGAGCCGCACACAGCACGATAGTGGGCTGAAATATGCACTGTTCAGTCTGCTGCTGCAACTTTTCATTGTATTGTTCTTGTTACCTTCAGTTTTATTTTAAATAAAAAAAACGCCATTTTCATCAACTGCACACCTTCTATATGGTTGAATGACAATAACTCCAGCTGTGTCCCAAATCAACACTACACACTAATTCTAAGCAGGTTTTCAGAGTTGACTGTGCTGTTGATGGACACTATTATCCCACAATGCAATGCACAATTAAAAAAATGCAGGTGGTGGTGGCAGCACCAGGACGATCTTAAAAAAATAAATCTTTAGAAAGACATTCTGCCTTCTCTTTGTTAAGTTTAATTGGAAGTGACAATCTGAGGTCACAGTTTGACTGACATCCAAGGATGCACCGATTTCCTGTTAATTGAACACGGTAAAGTGTGTTGACTTCTTGTGTGCCAACTGCAAAAAGAGTACACTATAAATATTGGCATATAATATAAATGTAAATCAGTCTTTATTGTCATTTCACAGTATATACAGCGTTTTACATACATGAAACAAAATTTGTCCTTTGCATTTGACCCATCCTATATACATGAGCAGCCGTAAGAGCCCAGGTAGCAGTTAGGGGTTACGTGGCTTGCTCAAGGGCACCCCGGCGGTGCACAGGAGGTGGAACTGGCACGTCTCCAGCTGCCTGTCTACACTCCATACTGTGGTCCATGCTGGACTTGAACCGCTGCCCCTCCAGTTCTGAAGCCAAGTCTCTATAGACTGAGCTACTGCCGCCCGATATAGTGTGTACTGTGGATGAAACTGGGACACCGCATCTGTGTTTAAGATGCAGAGACACAGAACTCCATGTATGAATCATTATATAATCTCAGTGTTAGAAGATATGTTGAATATGTTTGCTTTAGTGCATCCAGGTGTAGAGGCTTGATGTGAACTGCGCATTTCACTTTCAGCCACCCCATCTCCATCCTTATGACCCAGTGGAATATCAGATACTTTACCATAAACTGTTTATGATTTATCCAAACCAAACAAACAAACACAAACTCGGCACACATACACACACACACACACACACACACACACACACAGCAGACCTTGCGTATGCTGATGGAGTCATGTATGAGGCCTTGTGTGAAGAAGAGGACAGCATCGGGGGGAAGTGGGTGATCATCTCTAAGCTGGAGAGACAACAAGTCTGTGGCCATGTGCTCAAACTTCCAGGGCCTGAAACACAAGCACAGACACATGCAAAAAAGTCAAACAAAAAAATTTAATTCTGTATTGCAAACTAGCGTGTTTTCACTACACTTTTGCGTTGAGTATGCAACATAATTTCTATTTTCAACCGTTACTTTTTCGATAAACAAGCCAACATCACTGTCTAGAGGCTGCAAGAGTGCATTTTAAATGCAAAATATGTAACATACCTCGCATAGTGTATTCTGAAGATTTTTTATAAACATTAACAAGTGCATATACATATAACACATTTACGAGAGGAAAGGAAACCTACAGGTCTCTGTCTTCAAGGCAGTCCAAGAGATCATTGACCAGCTTCTCATATTTCCTGTACAAAAGAAAAATAAGAGTTGTTAGTCAGTGGTACAACTCCTACCACTATATGCACTAATGGTAACACTAGTAAATAATACATTCTGGTGCTCTAGCTCTTCTGTAACCTTGAGAAAAACTGAGATGGCATTAAAACTAAATGAATAAACAAATAATACCAACTCTTTATATTCTTACCTTGCAGCAACCACATTTTTGATTCGCTGACGCTGAAGCCCCTCTTTCAGCTCCTCTACCGACGGTGGCTCTAAACAAGGCGTGGGTTTTTCAGAATGTGCGATAAGATTGGCTACCTCTACACATCCTTCAGATACCTGTGGAAGTGAAGCGGAATTCAACAAAGGGGAGTAATCATTAAAAAAACATCAGATGAAGGGTAGCATATTGACTGTTAACGAACACGCTGCTCACAGTAAAATAGATCCCTATGGTGTCGTGCTGGCGATGGATCCTGTCAGTGATGTCGTCAAGCAGTCGACCAATGGAGGCCTCCTCCAAAGTCATGGTGGGCGACAGGCCACAGCGGACCAGAGCAAGCCACACCTCCCCGACGCAGTCCCAGTCCCTCGCACTGGGCAGAGAAATACTACCGTGCAATGCCAGCAGGCAGTACAGAGCCCCCTGAGCAACGGAAACACGCACAGGATAGCAACACATGACAGATTGTACTGTATACGGCAGTATGAACATCTGAAGCATAGAGCAAAGAGCTGGATCTATCACAGTCTGCGTAAGAGAAATGTGGCCTTTTGTCTGAATTTGAAGGACATAACCCATGTATCTTTGCAGCTCAAATAATCTGTAAAATGCTGGTTAACTGACGCATTTAGGCTGCTTTCACTTGAACAAGACCAATTAAAATGCCACAGCAAGATGTGAATAATAGAAACCTAAAAATCAGGCATGAACTCCATTGTTTTTGTTAGAAGAATGGACATGAGTGTTACAGTTCACCATTAATAACAGTTGTCCATTTAATGTTGGGGGGGGACAACACAACATGCACTACAAACTCAAGATCATTCATTTTGTGTTTCCCACTAGTGTTTGTACCTTGTTGGCTATTTAAGAGCATCTTGCTTGCGGTAAGATAGTTCACTTTGTGAGCTGCAAGTCAGGATCAAACTACTTACTGGACCTTATAAAACCTTCTGCTGGAAAATGACTGTCCTATCATTGTTTAGCAACCCCAGCTAGGCGAAGCAGCTCTTTTGGTTTGAGGCAAGTTTCAGCCAAATCATCAATTAGTTCTCATCCTCATGTTAGTAGAAACATTGTTTGAAAATTCAAACAATATTTGTGTCTTGCTACAAAGAGCAATCACACATGCAGCATTAGAGAGAAATATTAGTGTAATCTTGGGCTAAATGATGACTTGATGCTATCTTTTCCCCTGATTAAAGCTTTATCCTATCCCTTTATCTAGCATTTTTTAAATTAATATATATTTTAATTAATATGTTATGGCATGAGCATGATATCATGTATGATAACAATAGTAACCTTTACTATATTTCCCTTTTCAAAAACAAGCTAGCAAATTGCTTCATAGACATAAGAACAGATTAAACAATTACATAAAATTGACATGATAAATATTCAATTTACAACAAAAAATATGTAATTTGGAGAAGTAAAAATGAATTATTAAATACAAAATTAACCGTTAACTAATTAAAAGCCAATTTGTAGAAATTAGTCTTTAGAAGAGCGTTAAAATAGGACACTGGTGTTGATTTGAAGACTTTTCTACTTTTTGGAAGATCGTGCTCTAGACTTCAGGTTAAGATCGGAAGTGTAATGTAGGATGGGTCAGGGTCTAGCTGCCTTAAAAACAAGCAGTAAAACTAAAAATCAATCAATGCTGAAGGCCACAGGTGACCAATGCAGGGAGGCCAATATACTGTAGCCATTAAATACATATCGAAGACACAGTTTTGGACTAACTTCAAGTTTCAGCACCACGGACAGTGACCCTTATGAGCAAGCCCAGAGCGACAGCAGTGTGTGTCACCATGTGCTACAGTGGCTCTGTGTGTCTGTGTGTCTGTGTGTGTGTGTGTGTGTGTGTGTGTGTGTGTATGTGTGTGGTACCTTAAACTGCTGTCGTGTGCCATTGTGTTGTGGTGAGAGCAGTTGCAGGATTCTGGGAATCAGGTCTCTGTAGGAGAAGCTATAGGTTCCCAGTGCGGCTGTCAGCACATTCTGGGCCCTGCTACGTACCTACAAGGACATGCATACACACACACATGCACAGATATCAACACACATACACACACACACACACACACACAAACAGATGTACATGCATACATTCTCGATTAATTTCTATTTCACCGGAGATATTTATGTTAATACCATCAGGTAAATGGGAACCAACAGATGTTCTGATTGAATTTTTCTTGTTAATTTGTCTTGTGTGTGGTTTTACCTGGCTGTAAGTGCTGGTAGAAAGCAGCAGCAGATTACAGAGCAGCTCCTGGTGAACCACTTTATATTCACTGCCCTCAACCACCAGCTTCCTCATCTACTCACACAGAAATACCATTTTCAAATATTATAAAAACACCAACTTCTCACTGAGAATAACAGAAAACATTTGACTTCATGTGCATGTGATTACAGCTACATCTGCGACCCCACACAAAGTGTATGTTTTGTCAAACTAACCTCATGCTGGAGCAGAACCCGGTCAATGAGCAATGCTCTAATGTGCTGCTTTTTCCCATGAAGCTGCAGAAGGAAATACGACATACTTAAATCACCCTGCAATTGACTCACTAAAACTGACAACAAACAGCAGCCTTGTTGCGCTTTCCAACTTACCCTGTTTTCCATGGACTTCTTGACAAGAGTGAAGCTCTTCCAACGTGAGTCAAACTCCTTCTTGTGAGTGCCTCGGAAAAACATGAGGTCACTGATGATCTGTAGTCAAACAGACAGGCAAAGGGCGCTGTGAGACCTCCGCAGGCTTACCACAGGGTCGAATAATAACATTCCACACATGAATAATAAAAAATCACAAGTGCTGGACACCTTAATGATGACAAAGAGTGACTTTGTGTCATCCTCCGAGTGCTCCAAGATGTGATCTGGATTGGAAAAGGTAGATATAGATTTTAGATTGATATAGATATAGATTCCAAACAAAGTCAGGAGTTTAGGGCTTTAGTGCAATTGGAGTGGAATTTAAGTCTTCACTCACGTAGCAGCAGTCTCATGGTTTGGCAGATGGACTCTCTGTAGTTCTCCCGTGAATCATCTGGAGGGGAGGAGACACACAGACGTCCCGTATGAACACAGAATGCAGGATGAGCAGCCTTATCATCAACTGAAACTGTTGAGAGAGTGACTAGTGGGGCATGTGTGCTATTTGGCTGCTTGTTTGTATTTTCTTACCATAGTCAACACCTATATGCAGCTTGATCTCTCCCAGATTTACCATTGAGGGAATACTGAGAAGAAACAAAAAACAAGGAGCAAAAACGTGACAAGCCTGCACAAAAAAGTATGTTTTTTTTCATATACTATGTGTGTGTATGTGTGTGTGTGTAGCTGTAGGACTCACAGGTCAGATACGTGTGGTCCATCCAGAGGGGGCAGCATGCTTCCAGCTCCAAGAAGGCAGTGCTGCACAATAGCAAGACTCTGCAACAGCTCCTCCCTGTGAATCAGACCACACGTTACAGTCATAGCAGTGTATCTGTGTTTGTGTGTGTTATGAATTCACTTCACAAGTCTATAATGGTGTATCAACGCTCATGAGAAGCTAAATTCAACCTCTCTACGTCTGTGCTTCATCAAGAGCGTAAAGACAGATATTAAAAACAGATGTTAAAGGTTTCTTTTTTTTGGACGCAGACAAATTTAATTCATCAGAAATGAAAGGCCACTGGTTTCTTTGTTTTGTTTGCGTGTGTGCCTGATTATGTCTAAAGATGGAAAACTAGGGAAAATGACGGCACACCTGCTCATTGGATGATCTCCAGAGACATGGCCCTTGATTCGCTGCAGCTCAGGGTGCAGGAGGCGGGACAACAGCTGGAAAACAAAGTTCTCCTCCTCCTGGCTAGGCACATGCCAACACACACCCAAGGCTGCCACATCTCCAGCTCTGCCCCAGTCCTGGAGAGAGAAAGAGAGAGAGGGAGAGAGAAGTTTTTCTCAGAAAGTTGTAGAGAGGTTTTCCACTGGAACAACTGGCAAGCAAACCGGTACATGCAATCCACCTCAACACTACAGCCCTGTGTCATCTAGTGGTTTAAGTATTTGAAACACATGTAAATGGTAAGGACACTTATCAGTGGCAACACATTGATCTACTATCAGATGACAGACTAGCAGATGAATACGACGAGCAAAATACCGCAAAATAAAAGAAAATCAAATCTAAATAAAATGCAGAATCAGTGACCATGAACTGCAGATGAAAAGAAGTCAGTAATTGAAATTGTGGAAAGCAGCCAAGCGACGTAGGTGTAATTCTCCTGCCACTTAGACATCAAAACAGACCCACACATCCCCTTCACTCATGTAAAAACATGGTAAAATATTCTCAAGGTTTTGGAGAAAAAAAAACCATCCCACATTTATTTTGGGGGTCAACAGAAATCCTGCAGGGCAAGCAGCTCTGTTTGCCTCCCGCTGCCACAGAGTGAAACAGACATAAAAGAAATCACCTTTGAACTTTAATTTAGCAGTATTAAAGACAGATTACGCAACATTTAAAAAAGAATAATTTAGAAAATGAAAAGTTCAACTCATAAGTTCAACTCATAAGCAAATGAATGGACCCTTTAATTTTGACACAGAAGCTAGCGAGCTAGCTTCTGTGTCAAAATTAAATTAATTAAGATTAATTAAGATTAATTAAGGTATATCTTTTCTTATCTTATATTCATATATTTTCATATAGTGTACAATCACCTGAATATGAGAATCATTGATTTTTTGTTACATTAAAATGGGACGTTTTTATCTACAGTCTTCCATGGAGTTCGCCATGTTCAACCGCCATGTTTCTACAGTAGCCCAGAATGGACAAACACTGGTTGTAGATGGGGCCTTTCGTGTTTTTCTCCTACACATTTCACCACTAGATGCCACTAACTCCTCCACACTGGTCCTTTAAAATGAAGCAATATCTACCTGTGACCTCTCATTGCAGGTTAGGAATGTTAATGTGGCCATTAATTGTGACCAGCTCATCTAAAGAATGTTTCCTTTCTTTCTTTAATCACCTTGTGACCCTTTTGGGGGTCCTACTCCCCAAGTTGGGAACCACTATCTTAGACGAATGAAGGCTTTCTCTTTAAAGTCTATGTTCACGTTCCATGTAAAGAGAGAGTAGATTTTGTTATAATGTAATCATCCTTTCTTTCTTGTCCGTTCTCTGTGTACTTTAACAACAAACATTTATCTACGTTATTTTGTTACATAAGTTTATTTGTTTCTACTTGAAGATAAAGAGAAACAGTGACTGAGAGAGAGCAGTATTAGCAGTGTATGGTCCAGCAGTGTAGCTATTTAATTTCAATTTGATAAATGCTTTCTAATTCTCTTAATGGAAACGGAAACTGCATAGCAATTACTGAACCTGTAACACCCCATTTAATTAAACTGTGAGGAAGAGAATTTTTAAAGGTTGTACTTGTGGCATTTTGTGTTTCAAAGAAACCTTGTTCCAGACTAGATACTACAATAGCTGTGATAACTGCCAATATACATTCGATGAGGAAACTATGCATTTCAAGTAGAGGGACTGGATTTAAAGATATAATAAGTAACATTTCCACAATAAAATTTCTATAAACATTAGACATACGTTATATATTTTGTTGAATTGTGTACTTATATTGGTCATTTTTGACTATATATTTTAACCGGATGAAGGATTTCAGTCATCAGACGTTATCAGAGAAACAAGCTGAGCTACTGTTAGCAGCAGCTCGGCTGACAGGGACGTCCTTTGTCTGGCAAAAAGCGTTGATTTTTAAGGTGAAACTGCATTGTTCAGTGTTTTTAGCAGTTTTAATCACCAGGTCTGTTTGTTTTGGAGAGGAGGAGACCTCTGCAGATAATTGGACCGGTGGTAAAAACCTCCTGAAAATTGAACACTGAAGGAATCCTAACCGGGAGAAGCTGACTGCAGTGACAGCAATGGTGGTAAAGACAACAACTCCCATGATCCCACACTACTTCACATTGTCATCAAACATAACCTTTTGTTATTTTTTTGAGAGACCCCCTTTTGGCAGAAATTACACATTGTACATTTAAAAGGACAGTGCCTTCTTATATACTTAAAGAGACAAAATGTGAAAAATGTTCAGTGATAAACCAAAGGTTTCTGCTGAAAAAAGAGCAGCTCTGCAGCACTGTGTTGGCTGCAGCTTCTGCAATGATGATTTCTGATAAGTATCATTGGGTAGCTGCCAGTTGACGTTCAGTCATCCACTCCCCATCCTCAGTTCCTTAACCAGTGTTTTAATTGTTCCTCAAATGAAGGGTATGGCTCACCTCCACCCCAGCACCGGGAGAGCTCAGTGATCCCACTCAACTCTAATTGTTTTCCATCAGTGCCAGATGAGGTGGGAGGGAGCTGGAGGATTCACTGCTGCTTTTAATTATTAATCTGGCAGGTCATGGCCCCTAGGTTTAACTATCATGACCTGTAATAATTCAGCAGCCATTTCCCCTCTATGTAATTAAGAAGATAAATAATTCTTGTTTTGATGCATTACATGTGTAAAGCAAACTGATGGGTTACATATATGAAAATTTCATGGAGAACTGGACATTGAGAATTTCAAACCAAAAAGAAGAAATGTACCCAAATTACAAATGGTTATTAGTTATTCATGTGCGGGCCAAATGTCTCATAGTGAAGCTTAACTTCCACATCATTATGGAGCTTACATTCTGTACAGATGTTTGCATTCACCATTTCCTCTTCCATGTCTATCATACCCAAACAAGAATAAAAAAATCCTAGCTCTATATGTGATGTTACATCTACAAATGATTCTTGGGTGTGTGCTTGAGTTGTGTACACAGACCTGGTGCTGATGCTCGAGCCTCTGTGTCTCCAGATCCTGAGTTAGTCTGGTGACCTGGCTAAGGGCTTCCTGCAGAGCTTGACTGGGAAAGGAGCTCTGCATCAGGATCTGACTCTGTCTCTTCAGCTGCTTTTGCTCAACCACCATCTGAAGAAAGGATCACAAGGAAAATGGATATTCCCCCGTATGAAAGAGAGTGAGGATACATTGTTGCAAGGGACAAGACAGCGGGATGAAAAAAAAAATCAAACATTGTAAAAAACGCACCGCTCTGGCAAAGTTCTCTGCCTCTGTCCTCAAGTCCCTCTCCAGGTTCAAGGTATCCTGTAAGGCCTCAAATTCCTCCACAGCGAACTGAGACACTGGACAAGGATTTCAACATTGGGTCATTTATGCTTTTTACCAGTAAATTGCAACATGCAGTTTACACTATATCAACAATCGATTACTTGTGACACCGTGGTGTAAGTACTGTAATCAAATGCTCTTGATTAGTACCCATCATCACCTATCATTTTTCATGTTAGATTAATAGTGACAATGTTTAAAAAAAAATTTAGTCCACATTATGAACACCTCATACCTCTGTTATATTTCCCTAGGAGCTTCTTTTGCTGCACTGTCTCAGCAATTAAGACAGTGTTATCATGTTTCTCTTTCAGCAGCTGCAAATATAAGGGACGGAGTACAGAATAGATACAGAGATAGAAATACAGTTTGTTTTATGTTTCACTTTTACTGTCAAAATGGACATGACATTTAGGGAGATTATTTACAGTCACTATTTTCACTGTAACAGTGATTGTCTTTCTCATAGAGAACAGGCATTATTTGTAACTCAAGACACATACAAAAATCAATGCTGGTTTCAAACCTTCCAGGCTGCAACTGGTTTTTAATTTATTCATCTGTTAATCTTGTTAATCTACATGAACTAAACACCAAGCTGTAAACCATCAGTGAACCGCTGGCAACCAGTAAGTAACCTTGTAGCTTGAATAAGTTGACACTGCAGGTGAGGAGTGAAGCCTGTTAGTAGCTGGTATAGTTGCAAGGTATAGTGTTAATTTCCCCAGACCTAACAATAATTTCTTCAGTACTATCTTTGCTGCAATCTCAGAACCCTGTGGCTAATAATTTAGCCTCTGGATGCAACAGCTAATGTTTTGAGGCTTCCAGTGTCAAGGGGCCGAGACTTCCTATGCAGTCCGCAACTTCATGACGAGAACACATTTTGGTTAAGCTCTATAAACAGATGCGTACATATAAATGTAGATAAATAATTTTAAAAAGCTAATAAAAAGCTAAACTGTCAGACAATAAGAGATTTTGAAAGATTGCTTTTCGGCCAATGCGTTCCGCCTGTTTTGCTCTCCACACGAGTCCACTCAAACATACTTTACAGAGATTACCTTTGCTGTGACAAATCTAACATACAAAGAGCCAAATCATGCTACCTAAAGTGGGAAAACAGCACAAAGACGGGTTCTCACTGTATCCCATTCATTTAAATTTGGCTGCTGACTGGGGTTAAAAGCCCACCTTCTCTTAGTAAAAAAGGTGGATAGTGTGCACATCCAACCCCAGTTGGGCACAGATGCAGGACTAAAACAGCTACAAAGGAAGAGAAGAGGCTAACTGCCCGTTGCAACTTTTGACTTCACTTGCCGAATACCTTGCAGGTCAGAACTCTTAGCACACTTTGCTTTCAACAATTTGATAGCCTTGCCCCTGACATAGAACATACAAAAATGTATTGTGAATGGAAAAAAAACAAAACAAAAAAGTAAACTTACTTCTTCTCTGGTTTCTCTCAGTTGTTCTCTTACTGCCTCAACATCAGTGACTGCTTGACTTTTCTCCTTCAGTGTCACCTCTAACCTTTTTTGTAGCTCTAAAACATAGAAAATCAAAGCAGTGTTCAACAGTGTTCCTTATTACACATTAGATTGGATTACATTTTTATTTTGAATATGTAAAGACATAAATATTATGCATCATATTCATCGGCTGTAATAATATAATCTTCTGGTACAACCAAGGTTAGTGTGATTGGCCTTAATACAATGTTCAGGAAATACCAGTTATATCCATTGACAGTATATAATAAGTGGACTGTGCTGTCTGTGAAGTAAAGCCAATTTTTAATGGCCAGCATGGGGCAGCTCCATGGGCTGCAAAGAAGAAGTCTGATAGTATTGAGTCTTCTAATAACCCTTCTTCTCACTTGATTAATGAGCTCAGTAAACAGTTTCCTAATGAGTTTATGTTCTCAATCTCTAGTTTCAGTCTTCTTCCATACAGCATGATGTTCATTTGGTAAATTATGGTCCCATTTAGAGTAAAATAGACAATAAACCAGGGTATGTTTTAGGGTGCAGCTACCTTGTGATTGACAAGTCAGTCAGTGCTCAGTAAGTCCGTCCAGCTCAATGCACCAAACTCAGATCAAACTGTTAAACTAAGCAGTGCTGATCAAATATGAATCCAGATTCTGTTACTTTGTTGTAATAGTTTCAGAAACATATTTTAGTGTAGTGTTCAGCTGTAATACAAGAACATGTGTGACTAGGTGAGCCGCCATTGTTTCCTGCTATGGACAGACAATGAGTGCTGCTCAACTTGCAGTATGTCATCTCTGCTGGCTCTGAAAAAGCACAATGACAACGCCCATAATAATAATAATAATAATACATTTGATTTATAAGCGCTTTTCTAGATATTCAAAGACACTTTACGTAAAGAAAACATAAAAGCAGCAAAACAACATCAAATATTAAATAAGGCCAAACTTGAGGCTTCAGAACGGTATTCCACAAAAGAATGGGTGATGTCACATTATGTTCACACAGTAACTGAATATGAATAACTGAATAAAATTCTGCAAAGTAGAATATACTGCATTATCCATGCATTTCTTTGTGATATGTGTTTGCAAAACATAATTTAATGGGTATTAATAAAAAAAACAATAGCAGCATCAACAGACTGAATTGAAGTAATGTCACTCATCTGCATAAAATGTAGGAATTTCTTAGCCCAGGAAATCTGAGAAACACTTTGTTCTGAAATCGTTGAAATTACACACAAATTAAATCTTCTAACACAAAGCAGCTCACAGCAGGACCCAGCTGAGACATTTACAGGGGTACTTAAGCAAAAAAAGGTTGCTGACACCTGAAATTGTTTTTGGGGAGAGATGGAATGCCCTTTGTTAAGTAGGACAAGTATTCTAATGGACAACACTGTGATTGGGCTCAGCTCGGAATTTAAACAGATGTTGTTTGATCATATCCAGTCTAAACCTTTATGTGGTAAAAGTGAAAACATGTAGAATGAAAGTATCCCATGTGTTCCCTGACAGGAAGTGCTTTGACTAGCTGTCCATTAACATACAATTATACATTTTCAACATAATAAGCCCACAATCTTTGAGCAAGTCAACTTATTTCTGTATTCAATCATCTTCTACATTCGAGTATATCATTTGCGAATGACATGATTATCTCTCGCTTTTAATGCCAGCAGGCTTGAACATCATGATGAAAAAAGCATCATGGAGTATGAATCCATTATCACCCGGGGTATAATTACTGGTTGACTAAAGGAACTGACCGTGACATTTCCCAGGGACAGCTGGATGAAACATGAAGTAGTTTGCTAGTATTGTACTTTATATAGTTTAATACTCACAGAATATACTGGATGTAGTTACTAGTTAACAGTGTTGGGTAGTAACTGATTACATGT